TTCTCACGATTAGATGAGCGTTTCAGTTTCGAGGGTGAAAACCATGAAAACATCATCCGATCATCAACAACATTCAACAACTAATCCCATCTCCCAAATATTAAACATCCCCTTAGAAACTATGGTTTAGTAGGGAATTCCACATAACCTGGACCATTTTAAGGTGATGTTCGATAGGGGGATTGGATTCTCCAGTATTCCCAAAGCCTGAGGGGATCCCCTTCGGGGACGGCTGAGGATACCAAGCATGATGATTTGGTGGATGTGCAGGAGTTTGCCGAATGGCTCACCAACGTCGATGCCACGATTACCGTTGGGCTGCTGGGCATAAGGAATGGCAGAGTCAATGGCGTCAGTCATTGCCATCATGAAGCAAAATTTCTCCTGTTTCCAAGGGTTCAAGGATTGTATGGTTTGGTGGTACGGTGACGTCTTCACCATAAGCCGGTTTTCTAAGTCGGTAAGTCTAAGAACATTGTGCCTGGGGTTTCATTGAAACATACCAGACATGAAGCGCCTTAGGACAGATGGCTGGCTTCAAATGTATGACCTGGCAGATGCTCGGAGCTGGATCCTCTCCCAACCAACAATCCATATTCCTTCCAAGCCTTTTTCGCGACTGCTTGCGTCCAAAATTACTTTACTTCGTGTGATCCCCACCATGACATTTATACATTTTCTTACTGGCAAATCTTCTGGCATTCTATCTGACATATCTTCTGACATTCTATTTGACATTCTATCTGGCATATCTTCTGGCATATGATCTGGCATATCTTCTGGCTTCTGGCATTCTATCTGGCAAATCTTCTGGCATTCTATCTGGCATCTGGCACATATCTTCTGGCATTCTATCTGGCATATCTTCTGGCATATATTCTGACATATCTTCTGGCATTCTATCTGACATATCTTCTGGCATATCTTCTGGCATATCTTCTGGCATATCTTCTGGCATATCTATCTGGCATATCTTCTGGCATATTTTCTGGCATTCTATCTGGCATATCTTCTGGCATTCTATCTGGCATTCTATCTGGCATATCTTCTGGCATATTATCTGGCATTCTATCTGGCATATCTTCTGGCATATATTCTGACATCTTCTGGCATTCTATCTGGCATTCTGATTCTATCTGGCATATCTTCTGATATCTTCTGACATTCTTTCTACATTCTTTCTAACTTTCTTCTGCACATTCTTTGTCCCATATCTTCCTACATGAGGTCCGGCAGGGAACACTTGGCGTGGATACTCGCGGTTGAGGTCCGGCAGGGAACACTGGGCGTGGATGGTCGTGGTTGAGGTCCGGCAGGGAACACTGGGCGTGGATGGTCGTGGTTGAGGTCCGGCAGGGAACACTGGGCGTGGATGGTCGTGGTTGAGGTCCGGCAGGGAACACTGGGCGTGGATGGTCGTGGTTGAGGTCCGGCAGAGAACACAGTGTGGATCGCGGTCGCAGTTGAGCAAGGAGGACGACGAGGACGACGAGGAGGACGAGGAGGAGGAGGAGAGGAGGACGAGGCAGGAGGAGGCGGAGGAGGAGGAGAGGAGGAGGAGGAAGGAGGAGGAGGAGGCAACTGACATAAAATCTAACAACCCTCACCTGGCAGGTGGGGAAAAAAAGGTAAGGAAGCCCCAGGATAGATTGCAGACAGGTCGAGAGCCTCAGTTTGCGGAGAAATTTCACATCTACCTGGCTGAATTCTCCTCAAGCAAGTAGACATAGCAATCGGAAGTCAGTCTAAGTCATGGGGTTCCAACGCAAAAAAGGATGAATATGATGGATGAATAATGAATAATTACCCCTTTTGACATCACTAAACCATACTAAACCCAAAAAAAACGGAGAAGACTGTGCCGCCGAGGATACACTGAAGCCCTTGTATGATTGCTTCGACCCTGATGGGACCGGCATTTCCAAGGATCAGTTGCTTCGACGCCAGGATTTCTATCACAGATGTAGATCTGATCGAATTGGTCTGGGGAAAAAAATCGCAGGAAACTTAAGTTGTTTGGGGATGGACTCATGCTTTCCTGTCGTTTTTGTTTTATACTGACCTAGTGGTTGAATGTAATTGCATCCGACTTAAGGATCACACCCTATCAGTCAGACTGGCGTTTATCCATGTTTATTTGATTTATAGATTAATTCGACAATAATAATGAACCACTTCTAGCTTGGATGCACATCCACGTGTTAGCAGCCTACAATACCACAGGAAGCATGTCGTTGGCGCAGTCCAAAAATCTAGAATCCTACTGTAGTATGTTCAGCTCATGTCTATTGGCTGTCGGTGCTCCCATTATCGTACGAACATATTGGTGCTACGGTAGCTGTTTACCAAGATGACGGGGATGATCACGATGAGCATGAGGCATGAGGCATGAGATTGGTAGTTGCATTTTTTCTGACCTATTGACAAATATGGTGTCTCAACAACAATCAGTTTGGTGATGTTTGGTAGTATGAGGGTTGCGGACATTCTGATGTTGAAT